AGGTGGGGGTGGGTGGGGAGAGATTAACCAAAGAATTTATATGCATATATGCATAACCCATGGACACAGACAATAGTGTGATCAAAGCCTGGGGTGGGGAGTGGGTGCTGGGTAGAAGGGATCAATGGGGCAAAAAGGGGACAGCTGTAATCTTTTGAACTATTAAAAAAAGTATAAAAAAATAAAATAAAAAGTATTTAAGTGTAATCTAAAATACAAACTTACATTGTAAATAAAAATATTTTTTAAAGAACTAAAATATGAAATAAATCTATAAATAAAATAAAGAAAAAAATCCGTCTAGCACTGGCCAGTGTGGCTCACTTGTTTGGGTGTTGTCCCATACACCAAGAGGTCACTGGCTCAGTTCCCTGTAGGATTGCAGCCTTCATCCCTGGTGGGGGGCGTTGAGAGTATTCGGGAGGCAGCTGATCAACATTTCTCTCTTCCTTGCCCTTCCTCTCTCTCTAAAATCAATAAAAACATATTTTAAAAAAATAAAAATCTAATCAGATCCTGAGACCATTTTTCAATTAGATTGTTTGGATGTTTTGCTCTTGAATTGCATGAGTTCGTTATATATTTTGGATATTAACCCCTTATCAGGTATATGTTTCGCAAATATTTTCTCTAATTCCATAGGTTTCTTATTTATTTTGCCCACTGTTTTTTTCCCAATTCAAAGCATCTGAGTTTGATGTAGTTTCCACTTATTGATTTTGCTTTTGTTGCTTGTGCTTTTGGTGTCATATCCAAAATATCATTGGCAGACCCAATGCCAAGGAGCTTTTTTCTTATGTTTTCTTGGGGGCTCTGGAGGGACTTCCCCTAGCAGGTGCTGTCACCTGGATACATGGCTCATTTGGAATAAGGAAGCAACTTTAGACTTCTATGATTGGTTTTGTTTAGGGTAAGTTGCTCCATTTCTGGGGTAAGTCAAGTCTTCGTGTACAGCCAGGAATTCTTCCTCTCTATCTGAGCTTTTAATCCTATGGAAAGGAAACATTCTGGGTTTTCTCTCCCTCAGGACAAAGCCATCTACATTTTGAATTTAGTTAGGGTCCTCCATCTGAGAGGCTGTGTTAAGTGTGTTTGTTGTGTCTGTATTTCTGTCTGTATTTTGGAAACTTGAGCCTATAACTAAGAGAATGGGAAATTCTAGTTCAGTTCTTCACTATAGCCCATTAGGGTGCACCCTTCAGAACTGGGCTGCCTTTAGCAAGTGATTCAAAAGAAATGTGAGGTCATGGTACAGCAGGAGGAAGAAGCCAATGGTATTGGAATCTAACAAAAATAGGAAAAGAGAAGATGGTCTGTTATTAAATCAAACTCTCCCACTGCACTACTATTAGGGGCAGAGGTATTGATCATGCTTTGTTGACCATGATTGTTCAGCTATAGTTATAAGAAATATTAATCATGTTCTGTTAACTGTGATTGTTCTGTTCTAATTAGAAAAAGCACCTTCTAACCTGGCTGGGAGTTGTATGCCCCAGGACATTGGAATTACCCTTGGAATGTGGTCCATTCTCTTTTTCTGAGAACTGCTTATCATGCAAAGATTAACAACCTTGTTCCCGAAACCATGGAATCCCAGAGGGGACCGCCCTATGCAACCCCCAGCCAGCCTTGCCTACTTCCCCATCCCTGTAATTTCTACTTTCCCATGTGATCTTTGTCCTTCTACCCAATATAAGCAGCAAGTTTATAGGGGGCAGTAGAGCAGATTTTATGCGGACAAATCCTGCTGCTCTCCCAATTTGCCAGTGATGTTGCAATAAATCCTCATATACAAGTCAACCCTGCCTCTGCTTAATTGACTCAAGCAGTGACAGGCAGCCCGGACCCATAGTGGTCTGGTTTCACTACCACCATCTCCTATGAGGGGATGGACTCCTGGCAGCCAGCCCAGGGCACTGTAACCCTCAGTGGAGTGCTGGGAGCCTACTTCTCCAGCTGCAGTGCTCCAGGCTTTCTTGGCACCATTTATTTACTTTAGAGAGAAGAAATAGGCCCTGGTTACCTGAGGTTTAGTTAGGAGAGTACTCCATTTATTGTTCTGTTTTTGTGTTATTTGTGTGTCTATCTTGTTTTGTACTTCGTTTATTGGCTTGGAAGTAAGAAATAAAATGACATGTGACGCTTCTTCCCCTCCCCCATCCTTTTTGTCTCCAGATTAGTGGCAGTCACCATCTGGTACTCAGGCTCCCTGCTGGCACCAGCTTCCTCTAGGAAAATCTGCCCGTTTATATCCAGGTGTTCTGAAGCCATTCCTTTTACTTTCTGAGGTTTCCAACTTTATTGTGCCCACTCTCTTTCCATTTTCTGTTGTTTGGGTTTGTTGACAAATCCACCTTACAGGGCACCCTTGAAAAGAGAGGATCTCAGGACTCTCAGGGAAAATCCAGTGCTTTCTTTAATTGATTATAAATTAATTTTAAAGTGGCTTTAAAGGAATTCTTTCAGCATGCAAATCTTTGGTCATCTGAGCAAAATCTTAATTTAGTTCATCTGCCAAAAATATAATTTAGATTCAATTTTTCCTCTGAGTTTTGTGTGCATGGGACATAAAACTAGCACTTTAAAATAAAAGCTATCAGATCTCTATGTTTATCTGTATGTTTATGTATGTATGTTCTAGATATAACATACTTCTACCACTGAATGGTATTGCTAATTTTTAATATTAAATTGGTTTAAACTATGGGTGAAAAGTTATACTAAACATACTAAACCTGGAAAGCTCAGGGCAGGCCTTCGTAGTGGCCTTGCAAACTCAGAGACCTAAAATAACTACAAAGGATGGTCTGAAATTAAAACTTTTTAAACATAAGCAGTTTATGGTTGGTAGTCACACCCTAAGGCAGTATTTTTCCCTAACAAAGGTTAATTTTCACTTTAACTAAGCCTGTCAGTTGTCTTTTGCATTTGAGATAACATACCTGATAAACACAGGCCTTTGCAACAAATTTTGCAACAGAGACAGCATGAATTTATTTGACTACTAAACCTAATTTCCCCTTTATTTCTGGCCCTCAGTGCACCAAGGCAGAGACTAAGAATCCTCTCATTGTTATTGATATCTTGTTAACTGTTGACTGTAAACTGTCCTGTACCCACCTATGTAAAACATGAATGCGGCTATCATTTTATTTTTTACCAATCCCAGAGGTTTCCCCTGTTTGCTTTCTCCCACCTTCCTAATCTATCACCAATGGATTCCATGTAACCCACTTGCATCTTCTCCTTTGATTGTAATCTATAAAGCAAGGTGCAAAACTGGCCTTCTCTGGAGCATTATCTTAATCCATTGAGATTCTGCTTCCCTGCAATTGTCACCAGTTTGGCTCAAATAAACTCACAAAAATTCTTCACAGGTTTGAATGTTTCTTACATTAACAAAACAAACAAATGTTTATACGATAATTCTCAAAAATATAAAAAAACTAACCCAAATGCTCTTCAGAATCACATGAGCTGAGAAAATATTTGCTATTAAAGCTAGTTTTGAGTTTGGTTTGGTTCAACAGGCATATCTTTAGAATCACCAGCATTAAATAATACTTTTATTCTACTTAAGTTTATTAGTCAAATAAATTCATGTTATCTTTATTGCAAAATTTTTCAACAAAAATATAACTTGGAATGATAAAATTTTCATAAGTAATTTAAACATAATTTTAGGAGCAAGTAAAATAAATGTAAATGGGATTTAAAAGCATTTGTTTGTTTTTTAGGTTAACTCTTTTGCAATAATTATATTGTACATGTACTTAAATGGTTTTCTAAACCTTGGTAAATTGAAATTATTGAATATCTGGATATTTCCAAATAACAAAAAAATACTAAAGCATTAATTGCAAGATAAGTCTAATTTTGCCAACTTTTGGCTTCTTGTTAAGAGAAACTGAAAGAAATTTGGATCTGTTAGTAAATGTCCTGTACTTTTTATTTAAAAAAACACGTGTTTCTGAAAAAAAAGTAGATAATTGCCAACAAAAGCCTATGGTTCTAGATGTTATGAAATATATTCATAAATTAGCCAATCTAAAGAATGCTAATTGCTTGCTTTTAATTGCCAGTAGAAATTAAGGATTTAAAGATTAAGAATCCTAATTAATATGGAAAAAATAATATGTCCTCAGTAAAAGAAGATATTAGGTATGGAAATTCATTTTTAAAAGAATTTAAGTGGTTTGTCCTTAAAATAAGGTTGGTTTTTTTTTAACTAGTAAGAAAAAAACAACTAAGATGCCTAGGAAAGTTGTAGAGAGTTGCTCAGGCAAACATGCCACCACTCTCTTTCTCTCTCTCTTTCTTTCTCTTGCATTGACAGTTGAATATTCATATCCTGTAACATTCTTAGTGAACTTGCCCCAGAAACACAATTTCTTAGCTATTTCCAGGTGTTTCAGTTTACCACTAATGTTTCCACCCACCACCTCCATAGATAGGCCACACCATGAATAGCTACAAATGCTGAAAACTCTTATTCTCTTCCAAAGTTACTGCTGCTTTGGGAAAAGCATATGAACCGCGTGCTCTCGGATTTGCTTGGTCTTGACCCCATATATGATGGGATTCAACATAGGTGGAACCAGAATGCAGACGTTAGCCAGCAAGATGTGGACGTGAGGAGGAACGTGGCGTCCAAACCGCTGAGTAAGAGTAGTGAAGATGGCAGGCCCATAAAAGAGGATGATGATGCAGACGTGGGAGCCACATGTGCTGAGAGCTTTCTGACGGGCATCGTGGGAAGACATGTGGAAGACAGCATGGAGAATCAGCACATAGGAGACAAAGATTAACAGGGCATCTAAAACCACTGTCGCTATTATTACAAAAAGTCCATACCAGATGTTCACTCGAATGTCATTACAAGCATATTTGGCCAAGCCAATGTGTTCACAAAAGGTATGCGGAATAATATTATTTTGGCAGAAAGTCAACCTTTTCAAAAGAAATATTATGGGGAAAATTGTACAATAACTTCTTAAAAATATGGTAACACCAATTTTCCCAATCAGTGCATGTGTAAGGATAGTGGTGTATCTGAGTGGGTAGCATATGGCAATGTAGCGGTCCAAGGCCATCACCAGCAAGATCCCTGACTCAGAGATGAAAGTGCAGTGGATGATGAAGAACTGAGCAATGCAGCGATCCAGGGAGATCTCCCCAGCATGGAACCAGAAGATGGCCAAGGCCTGAGGTACCGTACATGTTGAGAGGACAATGTCTGCTCCTGCCAGCATGCAGAGGAAGAGGTACATGGGTTCGTGGAGGCTGCTCCTTGAGAGGATAATAATGATGAGCAGGCTGTTCCCAAGTACGGCAATGACATAGGAAACAAAGAAGGGGATGGAAATCCACATGTGCTGCTTCTCTAGACCAGGGATGCCCAGCAAGTGGAAGACTGTGTGACTGACACCAGTGTGGTTTAAGGTAGCCACATGTGGGGAGGCCACCAGAGACATCACTTCTTATTCACAGACACAGAGAAAAATACAGTATTTCCTGTAATATTCTTTCTGAAGGCACCAAGAGCGTTTGGCATATTGCACACTTCTATCTTCTTTGAACATGCAAATAATAAGAAAAATAAAAGGTCAAATAGAATATAGTCTCTGCTTCAATAAATGATAGTCTGATTAAAAGGTATACATATTCCCAGCTAACCAAATAAAACATTTTATTGTATACATTTCTCCTATAAACAGAGGATCATGAAAAGACAAAGGAAATTATTCTATATATCTGGAAAGGCTGTAACAAGTGTTTCTTGAACATGAAAAACTTGAACTTGACTTTGTGGTGGATACTTTACCTTAAGAGCAAGAATGAAAAGAAAGGGAAGCAACAAAAGAAAACATGGGTATTCAAATCAAAATGTAGTATGTCCATGAAGCAGCGTTTGTTCCGCTCCGGATGGCTGTGTGTTGGGGATACTGAAGAAAGCAGGTCAGAGAGTTCTTCAGGCAAATTTGGTTTAATTGATGGAAATTAGATTTGAAATTTCTCTGACTTCACTGCATATAATTTGTTTGCTTGTGAAGAGAGTCAAGGACACTTTAAGAGGTAGCCCTGACAGGGCCTGTGTGCCCGAAGTGAGGCCCTGCTCATGCTCACACCTTAGGGAACTAAATTTATAAATGACTGAAATTGGAAAGTAAGGCATTATTGCTGGGAGGAGATGTGCATGATATTTGGAAACTTTATCTTCAGGCAGAAATTCTATCATTTAGTTTTTAGTGTTCATTCATTCATTCATTAACTCCGTCATTTAGGAAACAGAAATGTTTTACAGGCACCATATTACAAACTGGGGATACAGAAAAAAATGGAGATTTGACAGAATCCTATGAACATACGGTTTGAGATAACACCAAATTTATAAGCAGACAAATTGAAGAGTTGAAGACAAATGTTAATTTCCCCTAATGAAAGAGTATTTTTAAATGTTTAGTTCATATATGCATATATGCACAACCCAAGGACACGGACAATGGTGGGGAGAGGGACTGGGGAGGGGGAAGGGACGGGGTGGAACACGTCATTGGGGAGAAAAGGGGACATCTGTAATATTTTAAACAAAAATAAAATTAAAGTAAATAAAAATAAAATAAAATAAATAAAAACATATTAAAAAAATAAATAAATAAAATGTTTAGTTCAGTAGCTAAGTTATATCCCATGCTTATTAACATTATTTCTTTCACTCCAGTTACCTACTTGGTGTCCATAATTTTCCTTTCTGGGGAGGAAAATCAGCACCAATTACCATCCTCCAAGTGCTAGAAGAAGATGTTCTGCTATCAGAGTCACCTCTCAAAAGGACCCAATCAGATGGTCTAAGTTAGGGCACTGTCTCCTGTAAAGTATATGGCTGCTTTATGAAAAAGTTCTCTCCAGTGAAGGCAGCTGATCTCCAGCATGAAAAAAAAAAGTGGGATGGCACCAGAGGGATGTGAGAGCTCGTGTGTGTCCCCACAGACTTGATTGGGAAAGTAAAGGAGGAAAATGGCAAGAAAGAAGAGACCGTAGAAGACACAAATCAACAAATGAAAAGCTGGAAAGGAGGAAAGCTTATGGAAGCTGGTGATGGTGATGTGTCTGAGGAAAGGGAGCAGCAGAGGAAATTTTACTAACTGAAGCCAGAGAGCTCAGCAGTTGAGGATTTTCCTGTTCGGTTGGTCTCCTGACCAATGTAGAGTGACTTTGGTCTGACACAAGTTTATCTACATACCCCACTCAATGATCTTCCCCCACTATTGTCTTCTCACACCTGCCCAAGGTGTCCTGGTCTACTTCCCAGGTCTTGCTTTGGAAAGCCCAGCACAGATCCTTGTCATTCTTAGGGCTCTTCTCATATTTGCCAAGAGAGGTCTGCAGTCTAATTCAATATCTTTTCTGTATTCTCATGTCCAGTCTCACTATTAGGACACTTGTCATATATTGGATTACTTCTCTCTACTTGCCAATCTTCATTAACCTCAGCTACCCATATACTCTCAACTTCCCTTCCCACACCTTACCTTCCACTTCTGCTGTAACCAAACAGAAAGATACCTCTTGTCTTTATCATTCTGTGTCCACATATATGAATAACCTGCACTAGTCCTGTTGCCTCTGGCCTGTCTTGGACATAACACCAGCTCAGTCCTTACCCTGATCCTGGAACCACCCCAACCATAGACATCTATTTCACTCACCAGCCTTTACTGAGCCTTCAGGAACAAGCATGAGATTGGAGACGAAATTCAGTTTGTTGGGGACCGGGCAATTGGGCTATTTATTCTCTTTCACAAGAGCCCTTGAAGGAAGCACTTACATCAGGGTGGGCCCCAGGGGCACAGCTGTCGCCACCAGCCTCACCTTCTTCCCAAATGGCCTTATTCCCAGAACTTCTATTTTATCTCTTGCTCCCCTTCACATGCTCTGAAATCCATCCCACACCAAGTGTTCACATTTATGATGTCTTACTACAAGAAAACCTCCCCCATCTAAACCAGCTTTGCTGCAAGCCTCTTTTAATGCCTACATTGGCATTAAATATTGAATTAAATTAATATTAAAGTTATTTCCAATCTGTAATATTAATGCAAGCAATTAATGTGTAAAGATAATTTTCAAATTTTCATTCTTCATGTAAAGGATGATGTTGCAGTTATAGTCATCCCTGGAGTGGTCATAAGATTTATATCCATATTCATAAATAATGAAGTTTCATTCTTCCCTAAGGGTACGTAAATGTCTGTACACAATCCATAGAAGAAAAATGATTCCTGACATTTATAATATATTTTTATTTCATTTGCCTGCCTAGTGTATCATTCTGTTCAGTGCTTGGCCACCAAAACTTCACATTTATGGTTGCTGGCAAAAAAATTATCTTGTTTTCTTTATATTATTTTATAAGTATTTAATCTAGATTTTACTCATCCTGAATGTATGGAGTGAAATTTTTTCAACTTGAAAATAACTTTATATTCTGATTACAAAAGTAGCCTTGTACCTTTTTTTATTAATCAGATAACAAAGACAGGAAGAACAAAGTAATCCCACCTTAGTAAAAAAAAAATGTGTGTCTTAATATAAATACATACAGGACTATTATCTCAGCCAGGTTTCTATACTTTATGCTCTTCTAAAAATCTTACTAAATTTTTATTAAATAATTATATAAAATTAATGCACTTTATTATTCATACATGTCTTCATGGGTAGAATTGGCATATTTGTTCATCTCACATTCAATGTTTAAGGAGTCCAAGGAGCATCTATTAAGACAGAAGCATGTACAGATTTCAGAAGTAATCAGATTCTGTGAGAAGCCTATTGATGTGCCAGTCTCCAGATACAATCCTGCTTTGTGCACTACTTTATATTCAAATAGGTGATATTTGCTGAATTTTATATTTCTTAGAAAGTCTAAGATCAATTTATAATATTTCCAAAATGACTAATAAATGTCAGTGTTGTGAGGTTACTGTGACCTGCTGGGCCACTGCACAGGAAAACTGTCTGGCTGGGGTGAGACCAAGAAAAATATTGAATCCTGAGTACAGACAGGTCTTTCAAAGTCTTTTACTGTGATGGAGAGAGCAGAGAATGAAAAGAGGAAGAGGAAGAGGAGGAGGAGGGAGAAAAGGAAAGGCAGAGGAAAGGCCATGGGGGGGGGTGCCAAAGGTTTTTGCCCGCTTCCCTCCCTCCATTCCTTCCTTCAAATTGTAGGACAATAACAGAATTATACAGATGGAGCTGAGCCTGTAAAGAATAAAGCTTTGTGACAGAGGACAGAAGGAATACTGTGCAGAGCAGCATCCCCATGTAGGTAAGAGGAGTGGGAACCATTTCACCACAGCAAGGCATCAAACAAACCAGGAGAGAGTCAGCCAGCAATTATCAGTAACTCATCTCTTTCCAAATGCCTATCTAGGGTTATAGGGTAGGAGTGGTTTATTTATCAGACACTGAGTGAGAAAACTCACTGAGCCACAAAGAAATTGATCTCTTATTATTGATCAGAGACTTTGAAATGAGTGTCCCAAGCCCCCCTGTGGACTTACTCCAGAGACATATACTCAGTGAGATAGTCTATAGACTATGTAGATATATAGTCTCAGCTGTCCCTCACCTACCAGGGCTTCTAAATCTTACCTTAGTGTATGGCTAGAAATGTTGAGAAAACTAGTCTGGTTCCCATTCTCAAAGTCATACCTGTTTTGAAAACAAGATATGAGTCACCTGGTCCCGGATCTGTTTGGTCTTGATCCCATAAATGATGGGATTCATCATAGGAGGAGCCAGAAAGCAGACATTGGCCACCAGGATATGGATATGGGGTGAGATGTGGCGTCCAAACCTCTGAGTGGAGGTTGTAAAGATTCCAGGCCATAAAAGAGGATGATGACACAGACATGAGAGCCACACGTGTTGAGAGCTTTGTGGCGAGCATCTTGGGAAGGGATGCGAAAGACGGCACGGAGAATAAGCATATATGAAACACAAATTAGAAAAACATCTAAAGCAATTGTTGACATTAGAACAAAAATTCCATATCAGGTATTTATTCATATATCATCACAGGAAAATTTGGTCAATCCAATGTGCTCACAAACAGTGTGTGGAAGACTGTTACTTCTGCAAAAAGTCGGTCTTTTCAGAAAAAATATTATGGGAAATACTGTACCAAAACTTTTCAGAAAGATAGTCACATTAATTTTCCCAATCAGTGCATGTGTAAGGGATAGTGGTATATCTTAGTGAGTAGCATATGGCAATGTAGCAGTCAAATGCCATCACCAGCAAGATCCCTGACTCAGACATGAAGGCAGAATGGATGAAGAAGAGCTGGGTGATGCAGCGATTCAGAGAGATTTCCTCAGGGTGGAGCCAGAAGATGGTCAAGGCCAGAGGTACTGTGCATGTGGAAAGGACAATGTCTGTTCCAGTCAGTATGCTGAGGAAGAGGGACATGGGTTCATGGAGGCTGTGCTTGGTGAGGATTATGAGGATGAGCAGGCTGTTCCCAAGCAGGCCCATGACATAGGAAATGCAGAAGGGGATGGAAATCCACATGTGCTGGTCCTCAAGGCTGGGGATGCCCAGCAAGCGGAAGACTGTGTGGCTGACACCAGTGTGGTTTGAGGTGGTCATACCTGGGGAGACCACAGAGACATCACTTCTTATTCACAGAGACAGAAGAAAACATAGATTTTCCTGGAATATTCTTTGTGAAGACACCGTGTAATTTTGCCATATTGCATACTTCCATCTTCTTTGAACATGCAAATAATAAGACACATACAAAGGTGAAAAGGGTATGGTCTCTGCCCTCAATGTGTGACACTCTCATTAAAGGATACACATTTCCAACCAAGCAAAGTAAAATACTGTTGTATGTTCCTTCCTACAAAACAGGTGGTTATCAATATAGAGAAGAAACCACTGTGTGTGTCTGGGAAAGCAGTAACAAGATGATACTTGAACTTGAGATTGAGCAGTTAACATAAGGTGAAGAATGAAAAGAGGGGATCACCACGAGAAAATGTTTGCATTCTTGAAACATTTTTAGCAAAGGTGGCTGGTGCATAGGAAGTGCTAGAGGGGGCAGGGAGGAGCTGCACAGGCAGATTTTTCCCGATTGCAAACGGCCTTGATCCCAACTTCACAGTAAGACTCATCCTTTTCATGGGAAGCATTATCAGATGTCTTGAAGCCAATAGTTTAGAACAATTATTCCACTTTAGAAAAATTACTGGTAGAAATTCATTGAAACGGTAATTGACCAAAAATATAAGATTCTAAAAATTCCAGTAGTATTCCAGGAATAGAATGGATGGGAACATAATACAGTCACAGAAGAATTACCCTAATATTTATTATACATATGCTTTATGACAGAGACTAGAGTAAGCACTCTGTATGTGGCACTTTGTATATTTCTGAATTTAGATGTTGAATATCCATTTCAGGACTGGGTATTAACCCCATATTACACTTAAGGGAAGTGGGACTCAATGAATGTGGATCATTTCCCAAATACCACAAACCAATAATCGATAGAAATAAGGTTTTAAATTTCTGAAACTATCACATACAATTTGCTCACTTGTGAAGAGAGTCAAAAGACCTTTAAGAGGCAACATTGACCGGGAATATGTGCCTGAGCTGAAGCACTCCTTGTGCTCACACCTTAGGGAACTAGGTTTAGAAATAACTGAACTGGCCCGGCCGGGCGTGGCTCAGCAGTTGAGCATCGACCTAGGATCCAGGAGATCGAGGTTCGATTCCCAGTAGGGGCACATGCCTGGGTTGACCGCTCGATCCCCAATGACTCTCTCATCATTGGTGTTTCTATCTCTCTCTCCCTCTTCTTTCCTCTCTCTCAAATCAATAAAGATATATAAAAATAATAATAATAATAATTAATAATAATAATAAAGAAAAATAACTGAACTGGGCCGGCCAGGTGTGGCCCAGCGGTTGAGCATCAGCCTAGGATCCAGGAGATTGTGGTTGGATTCCCGGGTTTCGGGCTCCATCCCCAGAGGGGGCAATAACAACTCTCTCATCATTGATGTTTCTCTCTCTTTCTCCCTCTCTCCCTTCCTCTCTCTAAAAATCAATAAATACATTTTTAAAAGTAAAAGATCTCCCTTCTGCACTCCCGTTTTACAACTCCCTTATAGTGCATGGAACTGATGTAACGATTTGTTTACCTAATCCCTGAGCTTGCCCCCTCTCAGACACGCAGGCAGTTTCACTGCAGGGTGGCCCGGACTGCGGTTCCCGTCCTCATTCCTGTGACCGCGTGAGTGGCACCCACCCTGAGGAACCTCAGGGGTAGGAGTGGAGCCACCAGATGCAGCGACAGCACCGCAGACCACCTCCACCGGCTGAGCGGCCCAGCGCGTGCAGCTTTGCCTCCCACCAGGCAGGGCGGGGTGGCGCCCCCCAGGTGGACGAGACCCCACCACGCGGCTGGGCTGAGGTCTCAACCTCCCCCGGGGTTGACTGAGCGCCCAGGTCGGCTCAGCCCGCGGGGTCTGGCTTCCTACGGAGCATGCCAGGGTAGCCCCGCCCACAAGGGCGGGTCTCCAGGACGGAGCTTCCGGTTTCCGCCTTTCCCTTCCGGGGCAGGGGGTGCGCGCGGGACTTACCGGTGTTTCTCGCTCTGTCTGCGAGGAGGCGGCGGACACCGCAGAGTTCAGGGCTAGACCCGTCCCTCCTGGATCCAGGTCCCGGGAGAGCCTGAGGAGCGCCTCGGGCTCGCTCCAGGCCTCCCCCCGCCCCCGAGCGGCCTCTCCTCCTTTCCAGACACGGAGAAAAACGCTAAGTTGGAGTGTGGCAGGTGAGTGTGGCAGGGCTGAGGGAGGCAGCTCCCAAGACGGGCACGGGGGGCTGAGGGGCAAGGGGCAGGAGAAATGGTGAAGTGAAGGACCGAAGGAAAAGTGTTCTGAAGACCGAGGGAAGAGAGTCTCCGCAAGACCGGAGTGTCCACCTGGGTTCAATGCCACTGAGGTGCCCTGAGGAATGCTAAGGCCCAGACGAGGGGACTGGAGTTGGCTAATCGCAGCTCTAGGGGCATCGTACCCCGCTTTCCTGAAGCCCGCAGTTTTAGGCTGGGCAGTGGATAAACAGTTCATACAGAGGAGAGGCTTGTTTAGTGTTCTCCCGTTACCTGCTTTAGAGTAATGAGTTAGTCCCTTAGAATTTCCTAAGGTAATTTTTTCAAACCCAAAATAAACTCTTAGCTTTTATTTGTTTATTTATTTAATATATCTTTATTGATTTCAGAGAGAAGAAAGGAGAGGGAGAGAGAGAGATAGAAACATCAGTGATGAGAGAGTCATTGATCGGCTGCCTCACACTCGCCCCCCGACTGGGGATCCAGCCCACAACCCAGACATGTGCCCTGACCGGGAATCGAACCCCGATCGCCTGGATCCTAGGTCGACGCTCAACCGCTGAGCCACCTCTGGCTGGGCTGGGCTTTTATATGTTAGAAGAATTTGCAGATAGTATTCTTTTCGATGTTTAAATTGTCCCATTTTGAGGTCTCTGCCTCCAGACTTACCCCTTCCAATCCATGCTAGCTTATTAACTAGGTAATGAGTAAAGGGTAAGAAGACAGTACAAAATCTGGCATGATCATCCAGGTGACAGAGAAGGAAACCTAAACCAGTCAGTACCTTGGAACTTTGGAACATCTGTGGATGAGCGTAAAGTACATCCAACCTCCACGTCTGAGCATGACCGAGTAGCTTATCAGTAGTAAGTATAAAAGCTGAATAACCCTGCCAGCGTGGCTCAGCGGTTGAGCATCAACCTATGATCTGGGAGATGGAGGTTTGATTCCAGGTCAGGGCACATGCCCAGGTTGAGGGCTCCATCCCCAGCAGGGGGCGTGCAGGAGAGAGCCGATCAATGACTCTCATCACTGATGTTTGTATCTCTCCCTCTCTCTGAAATTAAAAAAAGAATTTTTTTTTTTTTTTATAAAAGCTGAATAAAATACTTAAAGCAACTGAAGGTGTTAGAGAAAAATCATGTCAGACAGGACTTGAAACAGGAAATTGCTGGAGAGAATGTGGGAGAACCTAGGCAAGACCCTCATTTGCCTGTGCTTTCCACCCCAGAACATGTGCTACGTCTTAGAGCGAAGAACAGAGACCAAGCTGAAAGAGGTTGCCAGGGCTTGTGGCATTTCAGCTGGGCTGGGAAGAAGTTGTTCAGAGATGCCATAGAGTCTGAGATTTGAAATGGAAGCAGGAACCTTAGAGAAATGAGCCCAAAATTCAGTGTGCAGTTTCCACTTGTGTTTGTCAGTCCCTAAGCTGTGCATATCCAGGGCAAGATTCCCAGCCTGAGTTGAAAGCAGCAGTTGCAAGGCTAAACACTTGTGCAAAGACCTTAGCAGTCTTATGTTGCTGGGGAGCTGGAGGTTGGATGTAAGGGCCTCAGAAGGTGGACAGATATGCGTAAACAAACACTCTAGGCTTACCTTTAGAGCCTCTACAAGGGCTGTGCTTGAGGAGTAAGGCAAACCAGAGATCAGCACTAACAAAAGTTAAAACTCTTAAGTAGATCAAAATCTGCCAGTACTCTGCCTTTTGGAGAAAGAAAACATTAGCCAGAGCCTCTACCATTTGTCATATACAATGTCTATTATCCAATCAAATATTACCAAGCATGTCAAGAAACAGTACCAAATAACTAAAAACAGTGAGAAAAAATATAACAGATACAGAACCACAGATGATCTAAATATTGGAACTATCAGACCAATTTTTTTTCAATTACAGTTTACATTCAATATTATTTTACATTAGTTTCAGGTGTACAGCATAGTGGTTAGACATTTATATAATTTACGAAGTGATTCCTTCGATAAGCCTAGTACCCACCTGGCATAGTTATTACAATATTATTGACTCTAATCCCTATACTATACATTCAGAAAGTTGGCTTATGAATGGGGAGGTTAAATGAGATTTGGGCTTAAAGGGGGCCCAACACATGTGGAAGGTTGTGTTTGTTTTTAAAATAGGTATTAAACTGTATCATCTTGAAGAGATTTAGACAGTGATATAAGAGATCAGGGATATTTGATGTAGCAAGTTCCTATGTGAGATGAAAGGAAATGATTTGAAAGGCAATGTGGGATGCAGTGATCTTGAATAGCATCCCTGAGGCAGGAGGAAAGTAATAACCATTACTATGGTGTACTGAGATGGCACTCTTAGCTGGTAAAACTTTAAGTATTTTATCCCCTTTAACCCTTAAGGAAGCACATGAGATACATAGAATTATCCACTGAGGGGTTGAGAATGAAGACATTTCCTAAGGTCATTACCACTTGAAAACCAGTCTATCTGATTAAAAAATCCTGAGTCTTTGGCTACTCGGTCTCACTGCCCCCATGGAGAATATAGGTGTTGTTGAATCTAAGTTGGAAAAGGGGTGGCAGGAGGTTAAGGGAGAGCATACCTGATACCCTTCAATCTTGATGACATAGGTACAGTGTTGACTAAGATTTGAATACAAGGCTTGATGAGAAAATAATCTCAGAAGGTTGGTGAAGATGATGCTAAGTGAGAAGTAACCATGGAGTGGGAGGAAGGAAAAGAGAATGTTATCAATGATAGTGAAGGAGAGAAAGTGGTGGGATAGAGTCCGAACACAAGTCACTTGTTGGTTAATGGTTCATTCATTCTACAGCACTTAAGAGCCTTACTGTGCACCCCATACTCTTCTGAGTGTTGGGCATACCGTAGTGACTGAGACACATCCTGTGCCCTCATGTTGTTGGCAATCCGGTTTACACAGTGTGCTAAGTCTTATCATAGGGGCCAGCTTGGGGTGTTGGTGAGAATTTATAAACAGCAACCATCCTAACCTCGGGATCGGGTGAAGGCTTTCTGGAGGAGGTGATGTCCGACATAGGACCTATAATGTGAGTAGGGGCTCACTAAGGAAGGAGAAAGGCTTCCAGAGAAGTGGAAGAACAGCTTGTGGAGATTTCAGACAAGGGGTGAAAGAAGGGCCTGCTGTTTGGCGGTTCCAAGAGGATGAAGTGGGGAGGGAGGTGATGGCAGTGAGGCTGGGTGGTCAGCCGAGGTGAGGGCGTCAGAGCCTGTTAAACTTTGCTGAGGAGTTCGGCCCTCATTCCTGAGATGTTGAAGGATTTTGAAGAGTGAGGTGAAATGGTTAGATGAGTGTTTAAAGCTAACTCTAGCCACGATATAGAGAATTCATTGGTGGGATGAGAATGGTGGTCAAGGCGACCAGTCAGGAGGCTGTTCTGGTCATGCTGGTGAAGTGAGAAAAAGGGCCGAGGGCACAGAGACAAGAAGGAGGTCTCGAAGCTGATGCAGGGAGCCGCCTCTCAGACCACAGAGACGGTGACTTCTCTATTAAATTTTTCTGCTCATCCTGTGTTCTATCTGTATTCCAGCAACTGAAGTCAACCTCAGAAAGACAAGGCCAAGTGTCTTCATGAGCTGATGCTGCCAGGACCTGGAGGAGGTGACAGAAGAGGAGAAGAAATTCAGGTCTTCCCTGAAGGACCCTCACCTGTGGAGAGGTCTTCCCAGTTCCCCTGGGGTACGGTGGCGAAGGCCTGGGACAAGGCCCTCAGCCTCGGGAGAAGATGGTCCTGAAGAAACTGGGGGGCGAGTGAAGGGGAAGGCCCTCGGGTTTGGTGGGTGTGGAGAGAGGTTATTTGAGGATGGGACAACCACGCTCTTCTGTTCCTCCTTTTCTCCCTGCCTTTTTTAGTGCTATTCTCACCCTAGAACCCTTAGATCCTTTCTCTCCTTCCACCCTCATTACTCACACCTTCACTTCCCCTCCAGTTTGCCCACCGTCACTTTTCCTCCTGTTGCTTATCAGCCTTTGTGTCCCCTTGCCTGCCCCCTACCCATCCTTTCCATTTTCTTATCTGACAGGGAGACTGCCCTGCTTCCACCCTGGGAGATCGTGTAGTTCCTGACTGGACAGAAATCTGGCATATTTTCACACATTCAATGACCTTACCTCTGAAGGAGTAAAAGCTAGTGACCCTCAACACTCCAGGACCAGAGTTCAGGGCCATGTTCTGGGTCGGTGACCCACCGGCATCCCCAGAGTGAAGCTAAGAGGGGCCAAGAAGATGTGTAGCTACGTTTAGAGACTGGTAGAGTGTTAGGAGAGCCATGAAAAGTTCTCCTGCCTCCCCCAGCAGCTCGGCGCTCCACAGTGTCATGAGTCTCCAGCATTGCTTTCCTGGGGAGCAAGTAGCACCTGTCACCACATCTCCGTCTTCTTGCCCAGTGTTTTCTGGGTCAGATTTTAGTCTGTTGTGAAATTTAATTAGTAAGGTTGAAATGTTCCTCTGGTTGAGAGAGGCCACTCCTCCCCAGGTGACATGAATGCAGATGGGAATGAAGCGACTTTCTTCATGATCATTGACTGTTATTGGGCCCCATAGTGAGGCAGCAAGGAGACAGGATGGGATGGAGGCATCTGAGGACACCACTCTGAGCAATCTGGAGGGTTAGGAGACACACAGCACTGTCCCCTCAGCAACATGAGGCAGATGTCTTTCCAAGATCCTAAAAGCAAGTTGACAGGCTTTTTTCCAGGTCAGACCACAAAACCCAATAATCTCTTATGTCTTCCTATCACCATATTCCCTGTGTTTTTCCCAAGCAGCGCCACATTGTCTCTTGAACAAATTCGAGAACCCTGTTCGTTATGAGAGCTTTCATGCTGAAGGATTCCCCTGATCATTCCGAGGCCCTTCGACTTTTCAGGAGATTCCCAGGTACCCAGTGGAACAAACTCTACTCCCCTATGTTACAAATGCTATGAAGCCCCTGAACTGGGCTCTGTCTGCCAGGGAAGACAGAGCCCAGGACAGAAAGGGAAGAGCAGAGGGTGGGGTGGAGTCAGGTTCATACTGTCTAGTCAGATGCCTTTTCTGCCTGAGTGAGGAAGTGGAGTGGGGGTACAGGAAGGGAGGGGGTTTTGTCCCCAAGAGCCTGTGCCATCCATCAGTGTCATCATTCTGCCAGCCCCTTTACACTCTCAGCCTTCCTACCTCCCCTAAAGTCCTGAATTTTCCCCCAGTGCCCTGAAAATGAACACCCCATCAGAACACAAGGGCACAAGGAGAGGTTTCTGAAGTCTGCTCCTCTGAGGCCCATTCATTTTAACATCCTTTAGTAGCCAAACCCACCAATTAAATCATATTTTTCTTTATGTTTCTAACCCTTCCTGACTTTCTGGCATTCCATCCTCATGCAAATCTTTTTTGGTTCTCCCAGTCTAATATAAAACCTCAAAGCCTATATTTGTGATGAACCATAAAGAGAAGAAGCAGGTCTCCATTAAAAGGGTGACAGTCATGCCCGGCCTGGCGTGGCTCAGTGGTTGAACGTCAACCTAGGATGCAGGTGATCGGGGTTCGATTCCCAGTCAGGGCACATGCCCGGGTTGCGGGTTCAATCAATGACTCTCTCATCATTGATGTTTCTATCTCTCTCTCTCCCTCGCCTTTCCTCTCTCTGAAATCAATAAAGATATATTTTTTTAAAAAAAGTGACAGTCATGCAAAGAGGAGAAAGGTAATCAGAAGCAGTAAGTAATAAAGAGGGACAGTTCTGTAAGCACTGGGCATTAAGCTGAATACAAGATAAAGCTTGTTTTTGTGGAGCTATTCTAACTCTCTGTACTTCATATCAATATTTTTATTGAAAGCCACTATACTTTCATTTAACTTGTTTGTTTTTTTTCTGTCCTATCAACTCAAAAACATCTGAACCAATTATTAACAATTTCTCTTTGCTTTTCGTGCTATTATACCTAGTGCACAGGCAATTCAGTTAGTCATAATCCTCATCTTAGACACATCATTCTCATCAGTGCGTATGAAGCCCCCTGTGTTTTTATTCACGGTACCCATTCCCCTCCTTATACACACTCACTCTAATGTATTTACTATATTAATTTGCATTTTACTCTTGTAAAATATGTATGTTGTTGTTTGAATGTTTTTAACTATAAAATGTGTTGTTCCATAAATGTCATTCTGTTTCTTACTGTTTTTCACTGCACACTATATTTAAGATCTCTCTCTCTTGCTATACTTATGTTTAGTTTATTTTTTTTTTACCTCCTGAATTCCCCCGATTACCTATTCTCCCAATGCTGGACACATCCAGTTCCCAGAGTTGATTAAAAATCCTGGGACAGATATCCTCACATATGTCACCTTACAAACTTCTGTAAGAATATCTCTGGGACATACAATTAGGAGGGGTATCAGCCATATATGTAATCAATTTCATTAAATAGGATGAGATTGTCAGTCTCCCCTCCCACCCTTGGCAGTCTCATCTGCTTTATAATTCCCTAGTTTTTATCTGTTTTCCCTGAGCATATAACTTCTAACAAACTACATCAGTTATTCACTTACTGTGGTTATTGTTTAGAGTCTGTCACTCCTGTAAGAATATAAGCTCTCAAGAGCTGGGACCTTTGCCATCTTGTTTGCTCCTGTTTTCTGAATGCCTAGAATGGTGCCTGGCGTGGAGTAGGCATTCAATAAATATTTCCCGAGTAAATGGATGAACGGGGTGTGAAAGTCTCATCTTCCTGCGTCCTCAGAAACAATTTATACTTTTCTTATTTTTGCCATTGTTACAAGGGGTAAAGTGATACCACATTTTTGCTTCTATTAGAAGTTTTCACGTTATTAGGACATTTGAATATCTCTTTACATACTGCTCCCCTGGGAATTTCCTGTTGATGTCCATCACACTTTCTGGAAATTAAATCTCCATGTCTTTCACCTGTTTTTTATTAATTTTTTCTAGATCTTTGTTAAGGTCTAGCAATTAAGCTTGCTTTCTCTAAATTTCTCGAATCCCCCTTGGCTCAGGCTAGCTTGAGCATTTCGGCGAGCACTGCAGAGGCACTGGCATTGGTCCGCATTGCAGGGCACACGTGCTGAGGTAGATGCAGAAGGGAGGTCCCCCCAGGAAGGGGAACTGTGAAGTGGGTTTCCAGTCACGGGATTAACATCCATCCTTCCAGTGTCCCTGGGGAAGTAGCCAGGGAGAGAGTCTTGATTCTCTATGATAAGAAGACCCCTGTCCCTCAGCCATAATAAGAGCCTGCTGATTGCAACCTAGCTTCTGTTTCTCCTTCTCTAGCTTTCCAATATAGCAAACAAGAAAGTACAGAAAACATGATAGAGAAGCCCCAGCTAGCTCCTGAAGGCCGGGGACTCTTCCTGGGGAATATGTGTCCATCACATACTCGTTAGGCCCTTTCTCCTCCAAGCATGTCATCACCAGAAGCAGAGGAATAAGTCACAGTAGCCTCTGTTCGTTACTTTTCCTGCCCTCTCCCATCTGCCCAACGAATGACCTCCCTCCTGAGAAAATCACATCCTGGGCCTTTGACAGGCCTAGGGTTCCCCTGCCTGAGGCTAGGTCCCCCCAGCTGGGCTCTTCTCATCATTCTCAGACTCCTATGATGTCACAGCTTAGTTTAATGGAAATTACCATCCCCTGGGAGCCAGGAGATCTAAGTTACTGCCTGAACCTACTTTTTTCCCCTGCAATTTATCCAGTCACTTGCTCTCCCTGGGCCTCACTGAGCTGTACTGTGCAGCTCGGGTAGCAGTTGTCCCAGATTGCCCAGGACTGAGAGGTTCCCCAGGACGCAGACTTGAATGGCAGAGCAGCCCCAGGCAAACTAGGACCAGTGGGTCTCCCTCTTAACAGTGGAGTTTGTCCTAGTGCACGTGTGAAGTCCTTTCCCTTCCTTCCCATTTCGGAAATTCTGGGCTGCTGACAATAACTGTGGGAGGGTATCTGAGGAAACAGCTCCTGTACGTAAGTGACTGCTTCACATATGCCTCTCTCTTCTGGAGACAGGGAAAACCCCAAGCAAGAATTCTCTCAGAGCCCTGTCTCCCCAGGTATGACGGGATTTCACGTCGTCAGATAGTGTCTTAAATCTGTACCTCAGAGTGATGCTGGAGAACAGGATTGTCCTTGAAGCAGTATTTCTAATGCCATGGTTCCGGGTGTTTCTCTTCACTTATCACTGAGCCTCGGGGAGGTCTTGTTAAAGTGGGCCAGTGTGTGACAGCTGACAGATGGCACTGAGAGCTAGAGGCAGTGGGGACACGTGGCTCCACAGGCCTCCCTGATGTCCCTCATGCTCGTAGGGGAGGTTCCCAGGGCAGGTGCAACTTAGCCTCACTGCCAACTCCTTGCCACCTCAGATTTTTCACTTTTAGCTAACCTTGGATACACTTAATTTTCATTCTTATTTAGATGGTTTTTCCTTAAAGTTAGTGTTTTTTTTTAATGTCATGAATGTCTTTTTTATTATTGCTACTTTTTTTTTAATCCTCACCCAAGGATGTTTTTCCATTGCTATTCAGAAAGTGGAAGGAGGGAGAGAGAGAGAAACATCAATGTCAGAGAGACACATCGATTGGTTGCCTCCCACACGCGCCCGACCGGGGCTGGGGATCGAGCCTGCAACCGAGGTACATGCCCTTGACTGGAATCAAACCCGGGACCCTTCAGTCCGTGGGCCAGCGCTCTAACCACTGAGCCAGACCAGCCAGGGCAATGGTAGGGAGATTTTCCTTACGGTTTAGTTAGGTGGGAAGCATGTGTGTATATGTTGCACTTTCTGACCTGCCCAGGGCTCTTGCCAAATTTATGTCACTGCAGATTTCTGTGGCTGAAGGTATTTCTGCTGTACCACCCAGCAGGTCTCCACGGTTTGCATCAGCCACCATCCTAATGTGTTCAGGAAAGCTAACTTTGTCCTCTGATTTGTTGGAGGAAATTAGGAGTAGCCTGAGCCCTTAAGAGACCTGCATTTCCTTCACTCTGACTAGCTGGGGCATGGGCCTGACCCAGTGTTGACCCCAGAGAACATCATCTGAGTTCAGCTGGCCGCTGGCAGAAGGACCGCCTTTTGGGGGGCAGGGTCCCCCTAGACACCTGTGGTGCATATTCCCAGTGTCACCAATGCAAGAACTGCCAGGTCCACGTCCCTTTGGTTTGTAAAATAGTGAAGCCTTTTTAAGTCCTCTTTAATCTTGGATGTTTTGTTTACTGTGTAGGGTAGGTTATAAGCAGGCTTGAGCTCTACAAGCATTTAGAGGTAAACTTTTACAGGGGTCTCCAACTTTCTCTGCCTCAGAGGGGACGGTATGGTGCCAAAATTAGCTCACCTGTTTTTGTCAAATTTGAATTACAGCCCACATCCCTCTAGGAAAGACTTCAGGCTCTCTGGTACTCACATGAAGCCTGGATGCTATGAGTTTTAGGAGACTCAAAGATCATGTTCAAGGGGGCGGGTGTGACAACCTCAAGTGCTTCTGGGAGCAGCATGAATGTTTCCCTTGCTCACAGGGTATGTCAGTACTTTTGAAGGGAATCCGTATCAAAGGTCTTGCAAAGGGCCATGTGTCCTAATG